CGGGATAATTATAATATAATATATATAATTATAATATATAATTATATATATATTATATTAATATTAATAAGAATGTATAATAATTAATATTATTAATAATAATATTAATAATATATAATTATAATATAAATACTATTTGATATCGGGAACATGTATACTTTTTTTGGCCAGGAAAACGTTTTGAAATATGTGGAATTTAATGCATAGACTATCGATTAAATAATGCATACACTATTATTGGAGAAGGAAAAGATAATAAAAGATAGTAATAGAACGCGCGTGTAGAACGCATCTATTCGAACGTAAACTTCATTCGTTAGAACCGTGAATCATAAATGGTTATAATTAAGTGAATTACAGTGCCTAAATGAATACTGCGGTACTACAACCGTATGTTAATCGAGTTTCTATTTATTGGACAGTCGTTACAAGCGCGACATTAATCTTCGAATGTATCTGTCTGAATTCGAGTCGCTTCATTCCGACAGCTGCCTTTCATAATTTGAACGCCAGCTTTTAATTTTCCGATCTGTCTCGTCTCATTTTCAAGCTGTGTCGTTCTCGTCTCGCGTTTATTAATCGCATACGACGTTTAATTCAGCGTTCACGATCGCTGATGAAAAATAACTGCGTCGACCGATGCGTCGATGTAAACAAAAGAGGATGTGAGAAAGCTGGAGATAAAATCCTCTTAAACGGAATTTTCCTCCGCCATGTTCCGATACAGGTCGATGCTCGTGGAATAACGTAATGAACCAATGTGAAAGAGACGACGTATGCAAGATATTGGGTTGGCAACTAAGTAAAAAAAGTAAAAAAATTTTTTATTTCATTGAACAAATCGGCGATTACTTAGTTGCCAACCCAATAGTTTGGTCTATTATCCTTGCAAATGTGACTGCAAAAAGTGAAAAGTAGTTTCACCGCAAAAATAAACTCGTAGAAAGTAAAAGCAAGACTTTTATACACTAGAATACTCGATTTAACGAAGGAATCGCCACTCGTTTCTAGAACTTGTTCCCAGTGGCCTATGACCTTACGCGTGTTCCGTTAGTATTTAAATGTTCGATTTTTCCTCGCACAAAGTCAACGCAACCGCTGCTTTCAGCTCGGCGTAGTTCTCGAAGCGTTTTCTTGCAAAACGTGCGCGACGGAAAAGAAATAAACGATCGGCGCCCGCAAACAGGCAGGTGTGAAATATAACACGGATGTGTTACAACTTCCAATATGATATTTCTTACATTTTGACAAAGAAAAATAGTCCCGCGTTATCGTCCAACAGATGTACAGCCGCTTCGTCGACGCGATATCTCGCATCGTTTCAACGTTTCTCGAATGTATTACAATTTTTCCCTAATTCGCGCTTAAATTGCGCACAAAAATTGACAATTTGGGGATAGGAGATGCATTTTTTTACATTTACCGATTGCCAACAACTATAAAAATGAGCCGCAGAGCTCGAATAATCGCGTCTCTTCCCAAATTGTCCATTTTTCTGAGCGCGAATTGAGTGCAATCCGAGCGTCAATTAGGGAGAATGATATAATCTTGATTTAACCTTGGCATAACCCAGTTATGCGATCAGCTTGTCGGGTTCATAAAACGTGAAATTTCACCGTCCGTTTGCCCCGTCGCCTTTCGGACCAAAGTTATCGTCTATGCGATAAGGAAGCCCGTCGAGGAACTCGGTACGTCGCCGGCTCGAAAACTGAATATTTCTTCGAACTTACCTTTCGTGATCGTGACCGTAAGATGGATTGATTCTACGCGCGTACAAGGAAGCACCGCCCTCGGACATATAGCCGTCGCACAAGTCGGACAGCGTTCTGCTGCCGACGTTCATGCCGCCGCGAAGAACCTCCCCGTCGCTCAGATAACCAGAGGCGACGTCGATGTCCGCGTAATCGTGACCGACATGATGATGAGAGGAGGAATGAAGAATCGTGTACTGTCTTGCGGTCGTTCTGCTCGGCAGGGTCTGAAGAGCCCTGGCACCGGGCGTGTAGCCGCGCAGCAAAGGCTGCATCGGCTTCACCGTCATCTCGGCCTCGTCGTCCGCCATCGAACCTCCAGCGCAGGAAGAACTTTCAGACAGGACCTGGAAAGTCGCGTTGATTCTGTAGCGGCTGGGAGAGATTATTTAACGTTAAGGTGAACAATATTGTTACAACGTGATTTCTACGGTCATAGAATATTAACCCTTTGCACTCCGCTGTCCCCTCCAGCATATCACTCGGATGTCCCCTCTCGTGGGACATTCAAGTTTATTAGCGATTACCGGGAATTGAGTTGTTTCAGCGCAACTTTTTGAGACATGCATGTTTCTCTGAAGTTTTCTCTTGAAATGGCACAAGAAATCAGATCGAAATATAGTAAAATTACTAAGCTGTATACAAGAAATGTCAGCGGGTTTCGACGAGAACGTGAGAGGCGTGCTCACGACGGTCCGAGCACTTCAAACGCGCCACTTGAAAAGAGCGATAAGGAGAGCGATAAGTTTGGAGAAGAAAGATCGGTATGCGAACATAGCACGCACTGTATAGCGAGATTTAGAATCATAAAATCTGGAGGAAAAGATTTTCAAAGCTGAACTCGGTCTGGTTCGAAGCGTCGAGCGGTATAGATAGATCTAACGAGTGAGAAAATCGGAAAAGTGATTCTTCTCTTGGTAAATAAATTGTTTGGTAAAAGTTTTTTTGCTAAATATCATCTTGCGAGTTGGTAATAACAATTAGAAATTTTCAACCTATGTATTTATTCATATTTTTTTATTAGAACAATGGCGAAACGTTCAAACACGAACGAGTCTCATGACACAAGTAGTAGCGAAGATGAGCTCCGGATAGACGTTTATACAGATATGTTAGAAAGACTAACTGTAGAAGGATTTCTACGCAGCGTTATATGACGAAAAACTAGTCATACGACACTTTGTACTTTTACTGTAGATTTTTAAGGATTTTTTAAAGGACTTATGAGTCCACGTGGAAACGATATTTCTTCTATTTTTACTGGGCCTGAAGATGCTAATTCCGTTCTCCGAGAAGACGCGAAACATCCTATATAAGTTTCCAATGTACGGTACCGTTAATGATTATTATATTTAACAACGTATTTAGCGACGAATTCTAATCTTCACTTGCTAGACCATGTTTCTATTAAAATCACACGTAACGAAATTAACTAGTGAAATCAAACGTCGTTAATGTAACAGCAGCAGGTACAGTAATGTCTCTCTAACTGACGCCCAGATTGTACGCAGAAATAGACAATTTGGGAAGAGGAGATACGATTATTCGAGCCTTACGGCTCGTTTTTATAATTATTAATAATTGGTAAATATAAAAAACGAGCTGCAAGGCTCGAATGATCATATCTCCTCTTCCCAAATTGTTCATTTTCGTGCACAATTTCGGCGTCAATTGGGGAGACATTACTGTACATCGTACTACAGAGCTTCTGAATACATTTCTCTCTAATTCGCGCGTAGATTGCGCACAAAGAGAGACAATTTCGGAAGAGGAGAATATAATTATTGGTCGTGGTCGTGGTACAGGTCGTGGAATAATAGTAATTGAAGGATACGCAAAATAAAAATTTACAGAAGCATTCGAGAAATAAATGGAACGAATTAAGCTCCACCGCGCTGAGAAAATTAATTAGCCCATTGCACTCGAAGCTATTTTAACTCTAAATATAAAATCATTTTTCGAACTTATAGTATTTCTATCTATCTATAATAATCGTATCTGGTCTTCCCAAACTGTCCATTTCTGTACACAACCTGGGCGTCAGTAAGGGAGACATTACTGTAGTTCGATCACGAGAAGAAACTTCAAGGTTATATATATAAGAAAAATAAATCGCAAGGCTCGAACAATCGTATCTCTCCTTCAAAAGTTGTCCATTTTTGTGGACAATCTCAGCGTCAATTAGAGAGACATTACTGTATATGTTATTCGTCTCGGTTGAACGAATGCTACAAATTTGTTGGAGCAATATACGGAGCACAGGGTAACATACCGATAAATTGCAATGATTATTAGATACCTAATTGTTATTACATCGGCGTCTAAATTAGGGTAGTGGAGCCGGCTACTGTGCCTTCGGTTTGTTTTGTAATTACAGTGATGTTTCCCAAAAATGGACAATTTGGGAAGGGGAGATACGATTATTCGTGCCTTGCAGCTCGTTTTTATGGTTGTTGACAATTCGTAACTATAAAAATGAATCGCATGGATCGAATTATCGTATCTTTCTTCACCTAAATTGTGGACAATCTGAGCGTCAGGTAGAGAGACATTACCGTACCTTCATATTTATCGAAAAGGACACTATTTTTCATTGAAAACTAAGCAGAATAAAAGAATCTATTAAATAAATACAGAACAAAACAGAAGTATAAAGAACAAGCATAAAACTAATTATGCCCGAGAAGAAACGAAAGAGGCGTAGTAATCGGTTCCACTAGCCTAAGTCTATCTCCATGAAACGTCTCAAGCTCGAACGTCTTAAAATCATTCGGATAATTGAAAGCATATATAATTCGGAGCAGCACGATCGGTCGACAATTTTGAGACGCGTGATCTTCCTCAATGCGTCGTCGTCGATTCGTGGGACGCCGTAATTGGCTCCCTCGAAGGGAGCGCGACGATACACACCGAAGGTATTACTAACCTTCTCCATTTGCTCGAAGGTCGTGTCAATCTTTCTATTGGGTATGGTTTTGATCTCACTGCCACTTTCACTGCTCGGCCTATAAATAACGCTGCTGTCGCTGGAATTGCTCTGGCCGGTGCTGTTCGAATTGCTGTGCGAGCTCTCGGACATCAGGTCCGAAATACTCGGCATCGGTGACACCATTGCGACCGTGCTCGGGTCCAGCTTGCGATGCAAAACGTCTGCCTTCAATTTGGTGGGCGTCGGTACGCCCGGCATGTTGTTTTCCTTTGGCGGTTTCGAGGTGCCTTTCACCAAGGCCGTGGGCTTCGGAATGCTGGAGCCCGGACCGATCCCGGAAGCGGTCAAAGCGTTGCTCTGCAACGGAGGCGGCGCGTTCACCAAGCCCCCCGGAAGTTGCTTGCTGCTCGGCCCGAAATTCGGCCCGTTCGTCATTTGGTTCTGCGCGGGAACGTTGCCGTCGTTGTTCGCCGTCGAGGAAGCTTCCTGCGCGACGATCGTCACCTTTCCATCAGCGGTCCCTTCCGGACTGTTCAGAGGAGTGGCAGGCGTCGGCCGTTTCTCCTGAACGCTCTCCATCTCTTCGAGATCGTTCGCCAGTTTCGCGTTCGCCGGATGATGCTGCTTGCTGCCGGCGTCGAATCCTCCGGGCTGTTTGCTCGTCGGTTGCGCGTCGTCCACGATCGCCTTCAGCTTGTCCATGCACGGCTTGTCCTCGGACAGGTTCGCCTGGTTCATCGACAGCGTGCGATCCATTCCGTCGTCCTCCTGGTCCGGATGCTTGATCATGCCGTTCGCGTTGCTCGTCAACAGTCCTTTCTGCGCCAGGATGTCCTTGTTCAGCCCGTTCGGCGGTATCTTCGCGTTCTGCAGGTGCATCTTCGCGTCCGCTATCTTCCCCGGCAGCTCCATCTTCGGTCTAGGCTGTTGCTGCGTCGACTCGTTCCTCAGGTTCCCCAGGTTCTTCGCGTCCTGCGCGCTGATCTGCTTGCCCGGCAACGACGCGGCCTGGTTCGGCTTGTGCAGCTGCCCGCCGCTCGTCGGCTGCTTCAGCAGATCCTGCAGGTTCGAGGACTTCTTGTCCTTGTCCGACGCGGCCAGCTTCGTGCCGACGCCGCCGATCTTGCTGGCCGACTTGACATCTTCCAACGGCGGATTGTAGCAGACCAGCTTCTCCGGGCCGCCGCCCTTCGTCCGCGCGATCTTGCTCTGCTCCTTCCTCACGGTCTTCGGGCTCGCCTGCTTCGCCGCTTTGCCCGACTGCAATTTCGACTTCAACGCCCGGCTCTTCGGCGACTCCACCTGGACCTTGCTCTGGTCGCACAACGACGTCGAACTGTCCGAGTGCTCCGATCTGGCGGAGGAGAAGCCCGAGGAGCTCGAGGTGCGCTTCGAGACGCCGGACGACGCTTTGCCGCGCTCCTGGTTCTTCTCTTTGTTGTTGAACAGCTTGAACTTGTCCAGCACCGAGTTCTTGTTCTGCTGGGTCGTCGTCGCTCCTGTGCTGGCGTACGGCGAACTCTGCGTCGTGCTCCTCGTGCTCCCCGATTTACCCACCGTCGACGTCCGAGGGCTGAAACGTTCGGTACAGATCGATTAATATACGTTTGTCGAGCGATTTCAACGAATATCGATCGGACGCGGCGATAATATATATATATATATATAATAATATATAATAATATATATATGGCGATAATATTATATATTATAATATAATAATATATATAGCGATAATATTATATATTATAATATAATAATATATATATATATTTTTCAATATTTTTCAATATTTTCAATATTTCAACGCTTCGCGAATATCATTCGACCTTTGAACGAGACGTCGGACTAATTTTCGGATTACGGTAGACCAAGTTTTCATGTTTTACGGAAATTCTCATTTTTGTTGATCGTTTTCTAAATAGCGAATAAAAAAATAAATTTAAAAGAAAATAATAATAAATCCAAAAAATGTTAATAATTATTAATACAGGTTTCCACTGCTACATATAACATTATATTTGCATTCATATTTAAAATTTATATATTTTGATATTGATATATTGATATTGACATATTGATATTGATATATTTATATTGATATATTAATATTGATATATTGATATTGATATATTGATATTGATACACAGGGTATCCCAAAAATGTCTCGCAATCCGAAAGTGGCACGTTCCTCAGGTCATTTGAATCTCTCTCGTCGAGTAGAAAGTTCACAGAATAATAATGCGAATAATTTTGATTTTTATTTTTACTTAAAATTAATTTCAATTTTCAATTTGAATTCGGTATACACGTTCCCTCGCATTCGTCGAACAATCCGTGTACCAAAAAATGCATAAAAATCCGTAGTCAACAACCGTTAAAAAACGATGAATTTCTCCGGTTTCTCAAGGACTCTGCAAGCTAATTAATATCGTAAGTACTTCGTAAGGCAACAGGAATTCGCCGCGCGAAGCCCGTATATGCACGCGTACACGGTGGTATCACGAACGAACGAACTCTAGCATAGGAGGCAAACGCGTTAAATTAATAATAGTGTTTCAAAGGAAAACATGGTTTACCTAGGAGTGGTGGTTGCCGTTTGTCTGTTCGTTGAATTTTGACTTCTAGGCTGAGGAATAAAGGACAGGCCACCTTGCGGTGGCTGCTGTTGGCTCGGGCTCGTGCTCCTGGAACTGCTCGCACTTCCGATGCCACCGTTTCCGTGCTTCAAACCTGAAATCAGAGGTTCGACGTTTTAGCTTGTCGCCGCTGAATTAATACTACGGCTACTATTATCCAAAAATGATAACAATTATTATTGTAGGTTTCCACTGCTACATATAACATTATATTTGTATTTGTACTTTTATATTTATATCTATATTGATATTTGAATATTGATATATTGATATAGTGATATGTTGATATAGTGATATGTTGATATATATTGATATATAGATATATTTATATTGATATATTGATATATAGATATATTTATATAGATATATTTATATTGATATATTTATATTGATATAGATATATTTATATGGATATATTTATATTGATATATTGATATTGATATATTGATATATTGATATTGATATATTGATATTGATATATTGATATTGATATATTTATATTGATATATTTATATTGATATATTTATGTTGATATATTGATATTGATATATTTATGTCGATATATTTATATTGATATTGATATATTTATATTTATAAATATCTCGGGGCTGGAACTACTCCCAGGAAAAATTAAAGCAACGTCAAGAGTGGTTATTAATGCACAGACACGATAGTAGCAGCAGATTTGTTTCGGTGATCGTGATATGATAAACTGGAAGACCGTTCGAAATCTCTGCATAGTTAAGTATAGTTAAGTATAATCGACGGCAAGCGCTCGTAAATATTTCCAGTCATCTTCTATTAGATTTACTTCTGCTATAGGTTGGCTCATTAAGCATGCACAGTCGGTACACTGTGCTGGGCTTAAACACGTCGGTTTGCGACCGGCGAGTAATAGTAGCTCCGCGCGCGCGCTGTTTGCGGACGAAATAAACGAGGGGCTGTGTGTGCGTTTCGTGTACGCGATAGCGTGCATTCACCGCGCAAGGAGATTAATCTACTGCTCCGCGTTGCTCAATCCGTCACTACTCCGATCGCAGACATTGTTTCTGCCGAGTAATTTGCATTATCGTGGGACAACGTTGTAACGCGTTCACGTCGCGTTAATAGATCATCTTCGTCGCTCTATGATATAATGGAGACGGATCGCCATTATCTAACATCCATTTTAAACTGTCATAACTCCGTAACTGGAAGAAATATTTTTATTCCCTCGAGCACATCGACGAAGCACTTACGCGGTACACGCGAGCGCGTTCTGCAAATGACACGTGGGCATCGTATTAAATCATCTTTATTCGACGGTCGACTACCGTAGCGAATTATTCAGTAGTTATTTATTTATTTATTTTACTTATATTATTATTCAGTCGACTTTGCAAACATTAACCGGTCTCGAGTGACCCCAACATTGTGATTCTATTTTATCTTTTTAGTAAAAATGTTTCATTTTCTAGGTTTTTATTATTTTATTCGACGGCTAAGAATAAAATCAACTGGATGGTTCAGCTAAAATTGGAGCATTTTTCTGCGATTACTTTTGCGAAAATTTCGGTAGCAATCGAAACAGTATGTTGTCGCTAGGCAACGGAACTAAAAGATTCCTAAGGCCATTTGAAGCAACTTTTTCCTTAGCGAAAATGTTCTGCGAGGCTTCGTTTACGAGTTATTAACGAAAAGCACGGACCAATGAGAGACCGCGTACGGTTGGCGCCCCGCCCTCGCGACCACTGCCACTGGCATCGTGCGGTCCACGCGACGCGGCATTGGCCGCAAGGGCGGAGCGCCGACCGAATTCCCTCTCCGATTGGTCACTGTTTTTCGCTGATAACTCGTAAACGAAGCCTCGTAGAACATTTTCGCTGAGGAAAAAGTTACTTGAAGTCACCTTAGGAACCCCTGATTTCTCGCTTGTACTAATTCCCGCTTGTAATAGTTTTTGGTCACCCTGTAGAAACTAAAATCATATGAAAATTTTAGAAATTTATTTTATAAAGAGATAAGATTGTTTCAACTGATTTTACAAGCTGTCCCCACTCGGCGTTCCATTTTATGTCCTACAGGCATCGAGCAGGGTAAAAGGGTTGGGACCGAAGTTAACGAGTCTTTAATAATAGCATGATTAAGCATAATAATTCCATTAGAACGGTATAGTAACGTTCAGATATCGTGGATTAAATCGCAGGCCGGACTGCGCGTCGTATCTAAATCGTCGCAACGAAGATCCCCACGGATAAACTGTAACCTAGATCATGAAACAGCTGTTTTATCTCGGCCCGCGTTACAGCCAGCTGCATCGAATTATGTAATTTATCGCAGGCGTCTATGGTGCCGCGGACCCATAATTAGTATACAGCCGAAGTGATTCATTCGTGAAGCATTTATGCGGCCACTATAAATAATAAAGAAAACTTCGAAATATGCTGGTAATGTCACGACGATAAACGTATTTAAATCGTGTCTTTGAATCATTTCATTTCTGGCAATAAAATCATGCAAATTGCTGTTTCACTAGGAACGCTGAAAAAAGCTGACAATGTGCACGAAATATAGCAATTTTTCCCTTATTTGCGCTCGGTTTGCGCACAAGAATGGACAATTTGGGAACAGGAGAATTAATATAATATATATATAATATTAGTATAATAATATTATATTAATTAATAACATTATAATATATATATATATATATATATATATATATATATATATATATAATAATTAATATTATATTAATAATATTAAATAATTATTGTCAATAAGTATAAAAAATCGTATCCCTCCGTCCAAAATTGCTCATTTTTTGTGAACGATATTACAAATATCTTCGAGGTGGGAGAACCGCTTAGAGCGATTGTTCTTTCTTTTATTATAATTACAGTTACGATTACTATTACCCAAAACGTGATAATAATTATTATTGTAAGAAATATCGAACGCAGCAAATTTGTCGTCGAAACGTTCGCCGGACGAATCTCATTTAAAGGATGCCAATTTCCTTTGTTTTCCATCACGGTCGAGCTCCATCGGGTGGAACTGTTTGCTCCGCGGCAAAGTAAACGTTAAGCTTTTATCCGCGATATTTTTATTTTTATGCCGCGCGCGCGTTTGTTTGCGAGAGCTCTGCTTTGTTTTCTTTTTCTTTTTTATTTCGTTTGCACATTTTCTCTCTCGTGATCTTGCTTTACTTTCTCAATGAAAATATCGTATTATACGGAGAGATACCTTAATTCGCTATCCGCATTAATACGAAACTCCGCGGAGCACGAACGCCGCTTGCGTTATCCGGGATTTTGCCTGCGCGCACATAAACACAAAACATAGGCGGCCGGTAATGTGCGGAAAGTCGGGTGGCGGCTCCTCCATATCCGCGCATAAAAGCTGTCGGGAAATAAATTTTTGTTTGCACATATGCATTACGCAAAATGCACATTACGCGGTTGCAATACTTCCCACACGGGCGCATCGCTGTTGTTGAAGTATTTATTTATGTATTTATTGTTACTACAATACATAATAATAAGTATAATAATGATAATAATTTATATATATTTATAGATGCGATTATTATTATACTATTATATTATTTCTGGTATATTATTATTAGAAATAATATAATAGCAAAATTGACAGCTTGGGAAGTATAATAATAAGTATAATAATATACCAGAAATAATATATTATATTATTTAACTATTATATTTTTTTAAACTATTTTAATTATATTTTACTATACTATACTATACTATACTTTTAACTATATTATATTTTAACTATTATATTATTTCTGGTATATTATTACACTTATTATGATACTTCCCAAACTGTCAATCTTCGTTTCCAAGCCGTGGGACAATTGCAGCGGAATTCGCTGCGCTTGGACAGGAGCTTGTCTCAGGCGATTCTCGCGCTCCGCGTCGAATGACAAATCAACATGGGATCAAGGAATAATCGAAGATGCGGGGACTCTCGACGGTATTCGCCGCGGCAAATTGTGCGAATGTCTGCGCGTCGTGAATCATGCTCCGCCGTCTTTTTAAACGAATAATCCGGCCCCGCGCTCCGGGTCTCTCACGTTCGATCCGCGGTAGAGAGTCGGGGAGCCGCAATAATCCGGGCGACCGCGATCGCTCTTCATTGACACCGGTGGTGCTGACAGTGATTCGCCGTAACGACGAAGAGCAATTTAGCCGGTCACAGCCCACCGGCTCAATTGTCCGCGAGCGTACGTGACGCGTATCGACCAGATACAAGATAAACGGTCGGCCGGGGCCTAAGAGCCGCGGAGAAGAAATCTTACGACGCTGCGAACCGCTCGCGAGGGGCTGGGCTTTATTAGTTTAACCCTTTATCGATCGGCCGTAGACATCGTAACGGTGCAAACACGCGTACTCTCCGCGTTCATAATCGGATACCGCGCGTGCTGGTATGCCGGTACGCCGCGCCGCGCCGCGCCGGCGAATTGCATTCTTCCGGCGTGTTCCGAGCGGAATTCAAACACGCGTTGATTCGGCGAAACGGGAAAGCTTCGTTTCGAGACTTTGAATACCGATAGTTTTTTTTTACGGGGAACCGTGCCTTCGAATTCTATTCTGTACACGGTCGGATGATTAGTCATTGTAGGAGAGAACAACGGTGGTTGTGCGTAATTATAGATATCTAAAACTTGATTTTTTTGTATATAGATACATATACAGGTTCCTGACATCGTTCGAAGCAACTTTCTCCTTAGCGAAAATGTTCTACGAGGCTTCGTTCACGAGTTATTAACGAAAAACGTGGACCAATTAGAGCGCGAGTGCGGCCGGCGCTCCGCCCTTGTAACCAGTGAGAGGCGAGCTTGGCTGGCGCGCGGCGGCCGAGCCAACGAGCGCACGGAGCTCGGCTCCACGCCGAGCGAACTTGCCTTTCATTGGTCAGTGTTTTTCGCGAATAACTCGTGAACGACGCCTCGAAGAACATTTTTGTAAAGGACAAAGTTGCTTCGAATCGCCTCGGGAATTCCTTGGGACACACAGCATAATGTACACATATAAATAAATAAATCGATCTCCAACGTCTCGAAAAATTTACCTCCAATTTAAAAAACAAAAG